CCTGGTCAACTGGAAGAACAGCAGTGTGTACGGCATTGAGCTTCACGTGCCCAACAAAACCGACGCCATCAACTTCTTGGACAGACAGGGTTCGAAACCAGTTCGGGAGGCGAGGGTGGTCATCGTGCGGCCAGACGTGGCCAGGGTGGAGGAGTACGTTGTCGGCCCTCTACCGTCCCCGACTCGCATGGATCCGAACCCAAGACGTGAAATAAAATCTCTTCCATTCAGGTAAATATTTGTTATTTGGATCTTTGCTACATTAGTTTTACGGGTAAATATTTGTGACATGAGTTGTACGGGTTGATCCTTGTTACATGAGGTTTTTAAATGAACCCTGGAAGTTTTTATTTGTTTTCAAGATTTAAAAACTCTTCAATTTTTGGCAAAACATAACAAACAAAAGGAATTATTAATTTGGTTTCATTTGGTTGATCTCATTTTAAAACGAAATATGCCGTTTGTTATCTCCCTGTGACCACCAACAGATACCACCCAACTTACGGAGTCGATGAGGCCACAGCGGCAGTTATGAAGGTCCTCTTGAGCCCCAGGGTAAAACAAATCATACTCGAGAGTTACGGGACTTTCTTCACCGAGTGCGGGGGTGAGTGTCTGATGATCATCCCCCAGAAGACAAGCTCCGCCTACACCGACACCACCCTCATCGTCATGGGGGTCTATTACCAAACAGACTTTCCCACCATTAATCCTGGAGATTTGATGATCACGATGAAAGAAACAGCACTAGGTAAATGTTATGTGGCCATTGGTGTGTCTTTGATAGACAGACTCAGCACAAGGGAGAGAACACATGTATATTTTAAGTTCTTTATTTGAGTTAGCTCCCTGAGATGGCTATTTTCTTCTAATATACCAGTGGTGTAGCCAGGTGATCATGGAGTGAAACACTACCTCCACAGCACAGAACAATATGCTCCGACGTTAAAAATTCTTGATCTTTGATATATTTTTACTTTCTCGTATACAAAGTATAGAGGAAGTATTGTAATCGTGTAAAAAATACATAAAAAATCCAGATTTTTACAAACTCGACGTTTTACACCTGAGTCGAAAAAAACATAGTTTTGCAATTGTGTGCGTATGTCTCTCTCTCTCTCTCTCTCTCTCTCTCTCTCTCTCTCTCTCTCTCTCTCTCTCTCTCTCTCTCTCTTTCCCTCTCTCTCTCTCTCTGTGTGTGTGTGTGTGTGTCTGTGTGTCTGTGAACACCATAACTTGAATAACGTTGCAGCGAGGTTGATGAAATTTCGTATATAAATATTTTATCAAATTTGTAGTTCTGTATCAACTTTTCAGCTATTTCCGGTAACCGGAAGTGGAACTTATTCTAATTTCAATTTTTCAAAATTCTATAACTTGAGTAATCTTTCAGATAGATAAATGAAATTTCACATATAAGTAAAAGATCCAATTTTCTGCCTTCTATTAAATTTTGGGTGATTTCCATTGACTGGAAGTAGTTATTTACGTTATTTCCGATTTCTCAAAAAAAAAAAAAAAACGCATGTGAATTTATAAAGTACTAATACTATTCCGCACTATTATACACATATTGTTTAGCATTCACTTGGTGCGCAATTCTTTTTTTTTTGTACGAGATTCTATTCTATTTTAAAAAGTTTAAGTAATTAAAAATTGATTAAACATCATGTCTCTATCCGGAGTTGCCATCCCCCGTTTGTTATATAAGAATATTCGAGAAAGTTTAGGGGAGATCACTCCCGGTTTATTTAATTCATCCAAAATTCCTAAAACTAACTCGCTCAATTATTTCTGATTCAATGTGGAAAATTCCTCGTGTTGTTAAAAAATTGAATTATGATTCGCAACTATATTGTTATCCGTGACGTGACGTTTCAGACAGCCTGAAGTTTGAGTTGGACTCTGTGTTCTATGGCGGCTACTACTTCACGTCAGTCCGAGACTTTGTGGCAGCCTATGAGGGGGACAGGATGACCAAGGTCCGCAAGACGTTCCCCAGGCCCCAGCAGATTTCTGTGCCAGGGACGGTCAACTTGAGGGGCAGGACCTTCCCTGCCGCAGGTCTGTCAGGCTCAAGGGAATACCAGCCTTCAGGTAAACGTTACAGGTGAGATGACAGGTGACAGTTAACAGGTGAATTGACAAGTTAGGTGACAGTCGAGATGACAGGTGAGATGACAGGTGAGATAACAAGTGACAGTTAACAGGTGAGTTGACAGGTGAGATGACAGGTGAGATGACAGGTGGGATGACAGGTGACAGTTAACAGGTGAAATGACAAGTTAGGTGACAGTCGAGATGACAGGTGACAGTTAACAGTTAAAATGACAAGTTAGGCGACAAGTAGCAGGTGAGATGTCAGGTGAGATGACAGGTGAGATGACAGGTGAGATCACAGGTGAGATCACAGTCGAGATGACAGAGGGGACTATCGAGTTGACATCTGAGGTGACAGGTTAGGTTATAGTTAGATGACAGGCGATATAGCAGGTTTAATGTAAGGTAAGATCACAGTTTAAAAAAATTCTTGGATGGTCAAAAGGCTATCGAAGCAAATGCAGAAAGAAATGCAGGCTGAAGTCGGAGTCATGGGACCATATGACCATGTTGACAAGTAAATCTTTGTTGGAGGGAATACCCTCCAGTTTCAGATGCCAGATGACACAACAGGTTAAATGTCAAGGTTTTATTCACAAGTAGCTACGTACTTTAATTTAAGTTATGGAAATCTACATTAAGGTTGTTGTTTTTTCCTATACAGTGTAAGTGCCGGACATGTGGAGTACCTGGAGTGGAGCTTCAATGTCCGAATGTCCGCAGTTGCTGGCCCCCAGGTGTGGGATGTCCGCTGGGCAGGGGAGAGAATCTCGTTTGAGATTAGCCTACAGGAGGTCGCCGTTATCTACTTTGGGGCTAATCCTAACGCCTTTTACACTCACCTGTCTGACAGTTCTGAGGGTCTAGGTAACCAGGTAAGATGGTTCAGGTAATTACTTTAGATGGTTAATTAGCAACAAAATTAACTAACCAGAGACCCTCAGCCTAAGCTTTGAGTGAAATGACTTGACAGCTGACGTACTGTGAGTTTTGTTCCAGGCCTTTGGTCTCGTGCCTGGAGTGGACTGTCCGGACTACGCCACATTTTTACCTCAGGCAATTTATGACAATGAGCAACACGTCACCAGAACACTGAACAACTGTTTTTGTCTGTTTGAACACAACATGGGGATTCCCCTACGACGTCACTACACGAATGACCCATCAATTGGCAGGTGGGTCTTCAAGGCTTTAGTCCATGCTATGCTCTACCCCACCATTGTTCTAAATTATGCGCCATAACAACGTATGCTCCACCAACATGGTATACTCCTCATTAATGTCATTATACCTCCTACATGTCTATACTCCACCTACTAGCTACTACTCCACATCAATGGCGATATTATTCATTGCTTTCATCAATTTATTTTAATAATACTTATCGCATTGTATTTTCCACGACCCTGTTCATACTCCATTAACACGACCATACTCCATCAACTTGTCCAAGCTCCACGAAAAATGTCTATACTCCACCAAATACACAGCAATGTCACAACTATTCTACCAGCAAGTCAATTTGTTCACCTTTGACCCCCCCCTCTCCTCCTGTATCTACCAGCAACTACGGTGGTCTAGCGGACCGTGTTCTCATCCTGCGCACCATCATTGTTGAGTACAACTACGACTACATCTTTGATTGGGTGTTTCACCAAAATGGCGCCGTGGAGGTCAAAATTTACGCCACTGGTTACATTATGTCACAGATATTTCACAAAGAGGAGGAGCCGTTTGGGTTTAGGTAATTCGTTCATTAAAGATGTTTGTTTCTGTTCCCAATAGAGTTATTTTAATGTAAATTTGAAATTTTTGTGTTTAAACGTGGCTTAGTAGTGTAAACACGTGTTTTCATATTTAATTCATATAAAAGTATGCCTTAATTTTGACGCTACTTTCTTTACCAGTCAAAAAGATTTTAAAATATGCCTACCTGAATATCATGTGGTAAGAGGGGTGGTTTGTTCCAGGCTAGTATAGCTTACTCAAGACTGTTCGTGTTGTTTGACGAATTCGACGAAACAATGATCTAGGAGAAATAAAGCATTTTATGCATTATTCGCTAAATTAAAAAAAAATGGTCTGAAAGAAACTTACACTACCAGTTCATATTAATTTTTGTGTAGGATAATTTTATACTCACAACTGCAGAATCTATAAGAAGTAAGAAAACCAGATGACAAAAGTGAAATTTTAACGTATGATTTTTATACTAACTACTTGTGGTATCTATTGTAATGGAGTGCTTATTTTGGCAAAAAAATACGCAGAATGCTTAAACCACTACACGTTCTATCGTAGAAATAAATACTGTGCTTATATCCTCTTAAGGTTGAGAATAAATAAGCACAGTGTTTATTTCGTCGATAGGATGTAAGATAATATAAGAGACGCGTTAGCCACAAATAGCACTTCGTTACTGTAATGGTAACATGAACCATCTCTTTTTAATCGTTCCACAGAATCCACGGCGACTCTGTGGGCTCCATCCACCACCACTTGATGAACTTTAAAGTTGACCTTGACATTCAAGGCCAATCGAACCGTTACGAGACTCTGGACCTGGCCCTAGACAAGCGGCCCTGGCCCTGGTACAAGTCTGGCAGCGAGGAGTTCCACCAGATCTCCTTCAAGCACAACCTGAGGCAGACGGAGCAGGGCGCTGTGCTACACTACAATTTCTCAGAGCCCAAGTACCACATCGTCTACAACGATAGGGAGAAAAATTCGTTCGGAAACCACAAGGCTTACAGGTAGGAGGAGTTTATTGGTTTCCATGGTAACTTACACATTGATCTCATTAGGTGATTGAAACTAGAAAGGAGAAAAGGGTGGATGGTAAGACGGGGTGGTCTAGCATAGCCATCATAACAGAACACATCCACCTTTCTCCCATCCAGGTTGGCCGTGCAGGGCTTCACGAAACAGCTGTTGCCGGACGAGTCGCCGGTTCTAAAGAGCCGGCAGTGGAGCAAGTACCAGATGGCGGTGACGAGAAGGAAGGAAGAAGAGGAGTCGAGCAGCTCCATCTTCTCCATGTTTGACGGGGCCGGGCCACAGGTCGACCTGGACAATTACCTCAGGGACGACGAGAGCATCGTGGACCAGGTGAGGCGTCACTTGTGGCCAGGTGTATGAGGTGGCCAGGTGTATGGGGTGGCCAGATGTATGAGGTGGCCAGATGTATGGGGTGGCCAGATGGTGGAGGTGGCCAGCTGTATGGGGTGGCCAGATGGTGGAGGTGGCCAGATGTATGGGGTGGTCAAATGTATGGGGTGGCCAAATGGTGGAGGTGGCCAGATGTATGAGGTGGCCAGATGGTGGAGGTGGCCAGATGGTGGAGGTGGCCAGATGTATGGGGTGGCCAAATGGTGGAGGTGGCCAGATGTATGGGGTGGCCAAATGGTGGAGGTGGCCAGCTGGTGGAGGTGGGATTTGTGGCCAGATGTATGGGGTGGCCAGCTGTATGAGGTGGCCAGCTGTATGAGGTGGCCAGATGGTGGAGGGGGCCAGGTGTATGAGGTGGCCAGATGTATGAGATGGCCAGCTGGTGGAGGTGGCCAGCTGTAGGGGTGGCCAGATGGTGAAGGTGGCCAGATGTAGGGGTGGCCAGATGTATGGGGTGGCCAGATGGTGGAGGTGGCCAGGTGTATGAGGTGGCCAGATGGTGGAGGTGGCCAGCTGTAGGGGTGGCCAGATGGTGAAGGTGGCCAGATGTTGGGGTGGCCAGATGTATGGGGTGGCCAGATGGTGGAGGTGGCCATGTGTAGGGGTGGCCAGATGTATGGGGTGGCCAGATGGTGGAGGTGGCCAGATGGTGGAGGTGGCCAGCTGTAGGGGTGGCCAGATGGTGAAGGTGGCCAGATGTAGGGGTGGCCAGATGTATGGGGTGGCCAGATGGTGGAGGTGGCCAGCCAGATGGTGGAGGTGGCCAGCTGTAGGGGTGGCCAGATGGTGAAGGTGGCCAGATGTAGGGGTGGCCAGATGGTGGAGGTAGCCAGATGGTGGAGGTAGCCAGATGGTGGAGGTAGCCAGCTGTATGAAATGACCAGCTGTATGAGGTGGCCTAATGGGGGAGGTGGCCAGCTGGTGGAGATGGCAAAATGGTGGAAATGGGATTTGTGGCCAATTGTTAGAGCTTGCCAACTGGTGGAGGTGGCCAACTGTATAAGGTGGCCAACTGGTGGACGTGAGATTTGTGGCCAGCTGTTGGAGCTGGCCAAATGTACGAAGCTAAAATTAAAACAATGAACACAGACAACTATTAAAGTGCTATGTTAAAATGTTTTAACCCGCTTTATCACATACTCCCCAGGACCTGGTGTTTTGGGTGACTGTGGGGTTCCACCACATCCCCCACACAGAGGACATCCCCAACACCCCGACTGTAGGCACCAGCGCCACCATCTCGCTCCTGCCCTACAACTACTTCCACGAGTGTCCGTCTGTCGGGTCACGTGACGCCGTCAGGCTGGAGGTCAAGGACGGGGTCATCAAGTCAGCTGACTACGGTCTACCAAACGTCGAGTGTTTACCAACAAACTTGAACATGACACATTTGTTACAGAATAAAACTTTTTTATTTCCTTAAGCGAGAGAGTTCTTGTCACTTTTGTTCCAATCATCGAGCTCCTTAGTGGATGTATTCAGTGGAGGACAAATGGGAAGGCTGATTGGGCAGCAGCCTAAGGCCCAAAGCATATTGTACCCCCCCCCCCCCCCCCACCACCGAAAAAAATAAATAAAAATCAAACAACACTTCATCAACATCAGTGCACTTTCTTTGACCGTCTCATGTAAATAGATGTAACACATAGTGCTCGTGGACTGGTGTAAACAATAAACTGAGCTGTTGCGCTGTTGTAATGTCTCATGAATGTTGTTAGACGTACCCAGACTTTCTAGACATGTAATAAACAACCTCACTGGACATCGGCTCGAATGACAACATTAATTTTTCCAAGACTAACAAGAACCCGATATGTATAAGTATATGTATTTATCGAAAGCTTTTTGTCATGGGTTCATGTTTTAGAGCGTTTACAAAAATTGTAACCTCCATTACTAAAGGTGCTATTTGTGAATACTCAGTAAAATCATTCACTCATTTTATACAAGCCGTTTACACACGTGTCTCACACGTCCATCACACAAATTATTCACAGAAGTAGTTCGCAACTATGCTTTCACAAAAATTAAGCGACCTCAGTCATATAGAGGACATTGAGAACAGTTTAAAATGTATATGATGTCAGTGTATCAGTATCAGTGTCAGTTTATGATTTTAGTGACAGTGCCATTAGAAGGTGTGTCAGTACAGATGTCAGTGTCAGCAGATGATATCAGTGTCAGTGTCAGTAAATTGTGTTAGTGTCAGTAAAAGGTGCTAGTGCCAGTATCAGTAGATGATGGAAGTGGCAGTAGATTGTAGTTCCGTTGATCGAATTACCAACTCGGATATGGAACTTCTCAGATATCAGATCGTCAATACCACCGGGCCCTCCCCATACCTGAACTTTGACCCTTCTACACGCGAGGCGAACAGCCTTTCCACAAGAGTGCAGTATCATAGAAATCAGTTTATTGAAGCACCTAGTCATGTGAACGCTTCGCTGGTTCCCTACACTTGTAATGGTTCGACAGCAATGTAAAAAACTCGCTGATTCAGTCGGGGCGCTTGGCTGGGCGCTGGAAGGAACAGGTAGGTGTCTTACGCTGTTAGCGTTCTACTTGTCGGTAGTTTTATAGCTTTGGAATTTTTTTAAAGTTTTAATATTGACATGCAATAAGCAAACATGATTAAAACCCTCAGTAAATGTGTGCATAGCTCAGTAGTATAAAAGGACGGTGAAGTTCTGAGAAAGCAAAGGCATGGTCTTCTGATCTGGTAGCACATCACATGTGACAGAGAAACAGGTAAACTCTACTTCCTCTGTCACAGTCAGGTTTCGTGTTTTACAGGCCTGAGACACCTGAGCCAACATGTCTGAAAGCGTTTCATTCAAAGAGCTGTTGACCGAGTCGGAGGATGAGCAGCTGTTCACGGCTCCAGCTTTGAGAAACAGAGCCAGACAGAATGGCTGCAACCACAAGGTAAGGCTTGGCTGGATTCGATCCTCTAACCTGAACTAACAGCCCTTGTGTAGTCAACGCAGCGGATTCAAATTCAATAGACCAGACTACTAACTTCACCCCCATACTCGAATTTTCCTCGCTCATTTTTGTGGGTGGCTAAACTTTATTGGATAATCTATTTGTTCAATAGGTCATCTAGTTTTTGTATGGGTTAGTTCTATGAAGGTCAGTTGCTCTGTGGGTCAGTTCTATGAAGGTCAGTTAGTTGTTCTATGGGTCAGTTAGTTGCTCTGTGGGTCAGTTCTATGAAGGTCAGTTAGTTGCTCTATGGGTCAGTTAGTTGCTCTGTGGGTCAGATAGTTGCCGCATGGGTCAGTTATATTGAGATTATCTAGTTCTATAGGTCAGCTTGTTATTGTGTCTCTGTTGCTTTATCTCTTCCTGCCTGCTACACAGCATATACTTCTAACACTGACAGCCAACCAAATAGTTACAGTTAAACCTGCTCAACCATAACAGTCAAAATATATTAGCAGTAGTCTCCCCTAGTTGAAAGTTTGTCTAGTGTGTAGACATTTGAAAAGAACTGACTCTTGAACTACATAATCGTAACGGCGTATTTAAAAATAGCTTGACAGGTCATCCATGTCAAATCACATATGAAAGATATTTAACTGTACTGTGTCAGACGAGCTTACTAAATGAACACATGTCAGAACACAACTGAACCAGGTCGGTGTGTAACTGCACACTCTGAGAATGTGTAGGACAATTCACTTGAAGTATTTGACACAGTTGCTCTATGGGTTAGCATATGTGTTAACTACATGCTTTATGGGTCAGCTAGTTATCCTGTAGTCAGCGAGCTGCCCTATGGGCCATCTATTTGCTCTATACAAATGAAAAAGACCAACCTCTTGAAATATTTGACCCGTTTCAGAACCGCCGTGTCCACCTGATCCTGGCACTTTTCGTCCTGTCTCTGATCGTCAACGTGACCTTGACCTGGATACTCATAGTGAACAAGGGTGGCCAGCAGAAGTCCCAGCCCAACAGCTCACAGCCCCAGGGTGGGGGGACCTGGGGAGAGAAGTGTGGAGGCACCGTGCTGCCCCGCTGTCCCGGGGTGTTGGGCGGTGCTGGCGTGACGTATGAGAACATTTTTCTGGATCTGAGCTTTGAGGAGATCGAGGCTGTCAACAAGTTCTTGAAAGGTGAGAGGTCAAAGATTACACGAAAGGTCAGAGGTAGGTCAACCATCAACTGTATCGTGAGAAATTGACAGGTACATGAAAAATAACCGGTTAAAAAGAACATGGAAGGTGAAAGGTCAACACGTGACTAAAGGATAGAGGTAAAGGGGTCACAAGTACTTGTGAAGTGAGAGGTCAAGAAAGACCTTAAGCGACAAATACACTACTTTAAACTATCCATCCAAATATCCTTTCTCTTGTCTAATGACATGACCATCCAAATATCCATTCTCTCGTCTAATGAACTGACCATCCAAATATCCATTCTCTCGTCTAATGAACTGACCAATAAAAACACCCCTTCTCTTGTCTAATGAACTGACCATCGAAATATCCTTTCTCTTGTCTAATGAACTGACCATCCAAATATCCATTCTCTCGTCTAATGAACTGACCATCCAAATATCTTCCCTTGTCTAATGAACTGACCATCCAAATACCCCTTCTCTTGTCTAATGAACTGACCATCCAAATATCCATTCTCTCGTCTAATGAACTGACCATCCATATATCCTTTCTCTTGTCTAATGAACTGACCATCCATATATCCGTTCTCTTGTCTAATGACATGACCATCCAAATATCCATTCTCTCGTCTAATGAACTGACCATCCAAATACCCTTTCTCTTGTCTAATGAACTGACCATCCAAATATCCATTCTCTCGTCTAATGAACTGACCATCCAAATATCCCTTCTCTTGTCTAATGAACTGACCATCCAAATATCCCTTCTCTTGTCTAATGACCTGACCATCCAAATATCCCTTCTCTTGTCTAATGAACTGACCATCCAAATATCCCTTCTCTTGTCTAATGACCTGACCATCCAAATATCCCTTCTCTTGTCTAATGACCTGACCATCCAAATACCCCTTCTCTTGTCTAATGAACTGACCATCCAAATACCCCTTCTCTTGTCTAATGAACTGACCATCCAAATATCCCTTCTCTTGTCTAATGAACTGACCATCCAAATACCCCTTCTCTTGTCTAATGAACTGACCATCCAAATATCCCTTCTCTTGTCTAATGAACTGACCATCCAAATACCCCTTCTCTTGTCTAATGAACTGACCATCCAAATACCCCTTCTCTTGTCTAATGAACTGACCATCCAAATACCCCTTCTCTTGTCAATCTTGTCTAATGACCTGACCATCCAAATACCCCTTCTCTTGTCTAATGAACTGACCATCCAAATATCTCCTCCTGTCTAATGACCTGACCATCCAAATTTCCCTTCTCTTGTCTAATGACCTGACCATCCAAATATCCCTTCTCTTGTCTAATGACCTGACCATCCAAATATCCCTTCTCTTGTCTAATGACCTGACCATCCAAATATCCCTTCTCTTGTCTAATGACCTGACCATCCCATCAGACACCGCCCTGGTCAACTGGAAGAACAGCAGTGTGTATGGCATTGAGCTTCACGTGCCCAACAAAACCGACGCCATCAACTTCTTGGACAGACAGGGTTCGAAACCAGTTCGGGAGGCGAGGGTGGTCATCGTGCGGCCAGACGTGCCCAGGGTGGAGGAGTATGTTGTCGGTCCTCTGCCGTCCCCGACTCGCATGGATCCGAACCCAAGGCGTGAAATAAAATCTCTTCCATTCAGGTAGATCTTTGTTACATTAGTTTTACGGGTAGATCTTTGTTACATTAGTTTTACGGGTAGATCTTTGTTACATGAGGTTTTTAACTAAATCCACCCTGGAAGTTTCATTTTATTTTCGAGTTTTAAAACCTGTGCAATTTTTGGCAAAACAGTTAACAAACATAAGGAATTATTAATTTGGTTTAATTTGGTTGGATCTAATTAAAAAGAAATCTGACATTTGTTATCTCCCTGTGACCACCAACAGATACCACCCAACTTACGGAGTCGATGAGGCCACAGCGGCAGTTATGAAGGTCCTCTTGAGCCCCAGGGTAAAACAAATCATACTCGAGAGTTACGGGACTTTCTTCTCCGAGTGCGGGGGTGAGTGTCTGATGATCATCCCCCAGAAGACAAGCTCCGCCTACACCGACACGACCCTCATCGTCATGGGGGTCTATTACCAAACAGACTTCCCCACTATTAATCCTGGAGATTTGATGATCACGATGAAAGAAACATCACTAGGTAAATGTAATGCAGCCATTTGTGTGTGATAGACAGACTCAGCACAAGGGAGAGAACACATGTATATTTTAAGTTCTTTATTTGAGTTAACTCCCTGAGATGGCTATTTTCTTCTTATACTATAACCAGTAGT